GGTTAAGGGCAGGAGAGGAACCTCCTGCCCGAGTTAAGGACGTGGTGCCCAGCTGTCGCCCGATGCCCTGAGGAAGCCGCCGTGGAGGATCTCCAGAAGTTACGTACCGATTCGTTAAGGAACGCTCTCGATTTAGTTAAAGGGACGACTCGAAGAAAATAGAAGAGTTATCGATAATAAGGCTCTCGACCAATCAGAATGATTAATTCTCGGATTTGGCTATTGTCAAAGCAGTCTGTCTCGGGGCACCGACCGAGGTGTCACGGGCTGGCTCGTGCTCCCGTGCTATCTGTTGATAGTTTTTCTTGCCGTGTTTCGCTACGGTATAGCAAGTTCTCGCTTAGTACAGTTCTCGCGTTGTTCTCGCGATGCCAGGCAATTCTATGAATTCCTGTGAATGTTACGGAGGTGTAGTGCTGTGCCCTAGTGCAGTGCTCCCCAGAGTGTCCTTTGGATACAGTTTTCGGCCTCCACGGATTAGCTGCACCAGCTCCGGTGAGGATTCCCAATTTATTAATTGGTGAAGGGATCTGGGTACACAATTAAGACTCGTTCTGATACGTCCTCGGTTCGTCGCTCTCTGTCTCTCGCACTATTTGCCGGACTCTTACTCCGACCCTCTCTACCTCAAACCTAGCAGCCTGAGCGGCCGTGCATTTCCGTAACCGTCCGCTCCCGTCCGTGTATCCAGTTGCGTTTGCTGATTTTACGCGACCAGCCCCCAAAGATCAGCATCTACGGTTGCGTTTCTCGATTTTACGCGTCCCCAAAAATCGACAGGATCCGTTAAGCTATCGCCTCTTCTGATAGGTTCCGTCAGAGCTCTCGTTATTGGTGGAGTTGGGCCTGTTCCACCCCAACTCCCAGTTTATACCGGCTCGTCAGTTCCCGGTGAAAAAAGAATTGGCTGGCGCCCGCCTGGCTTGCGGATGCACGAACGACGGGTGGACGGCCGAAGGTAACGTAGGTTGGTTCTCGAAGATAGTCGTTCCCGTATGTCTTGCTATCGGTGTCGGGTCAAGTTAAGAAAATTACGTTACAGTATGTATATCTCTCTATTTTACCAAGCTGGAGCAACACGCTTATTTTGTGCGTAAGAGAGATCAGCTGTAATGTAAGTTGCGTTTATGAGATGTTCGAAAAATATTTAGGAATGGAGAAAGGATGGAAACAGAATAAAATATTTAGAGAAAGGGGGAATGGGTGAATACAAAGTCTTGTGAAATGGGCCCCACCCCGCCCATTTCCGTGAAGCACTGCGTTTCCATAAAGGAACTACTGCCCCTCCGTGATCCAGCTGGGGATTGTTGTCGGGACAAATCCCTGAGCCGTGAGACCCAAGTGAAACTCCAGCGAGGGATAAGGATAAGAATACAGCTGGAAATCAATTATTATAAATCACAGAAGACACGTGTAAAGACATGGATCAAGTCGTCTGCAGATCAAAAACACACAATCTAATTGTAAGTCCAGTCTCTACGGACAGCTTACAGCTAACCCATCTTACGTAGCGCGGACTGCTGTGTCGCAGAGACAATCAGACTTTCGGAGGGGTTCAGATCTGTGACAAACTTTAATCGCAGACGCAGTAAACTCAGTAATACCGATATAACGATATACACTTCATTATTTTACATTTGTCAAAAAATACATTGAACTCCTGAACTGACTATAAGTTGGTATCTATTAGACGGAGCCATGCTGGTGCTCAACTTTAATTTTATGCATTTCGTATGCTAGACTGTTTGACTGGACTCTGCTCTGAAAAGGAGGAAGACCAGACGCAGTACATCGAAAATGAGGATTTTTTGGTAAGTGACCTTTTCTTTACTCTTTCTGTTCTACTTGTAATAGACGTATGTGTATTGGCCTTTTTGAAACTCTCGGCAATTTTAATCGTCTTTTCTACTTACCGTATCGCAATGACAATAAAAACTGCTAAGATCTTTCTTCCTGTATTGTTCACAAAAGTGTTCTGCATCTTGAATTTTGCAAAAGATACATTGTAATAAATAGTATTTGATATTTTGCGTATGTAATCTCGTTGTTCACTTTTATTTCGTCTAGTAGTCAGCACCATCTTCTAGTGCATACGGAACTTTTGCATTTCAGTCGGTAACTCGAGCTACGTACGCAGGTCGGTAACACAAGCTACATCCAACCTCACATGACACCATACCCAATGTGATGTCTAGTTTACTTATCAACAGTCAACAGTCGCACAAAATCGTTGACTTCAAATTGAGTGTAGATGGTAGGATTGTTACGATTAAGGATATTTGAGGATATTAGGTTAATTGTCTCGTGATTGAGGTAATGAAATAATTATGGAATCGCAAATATTTTTGAGAATTATTAATTTTTTTTTCCAAGGAAAAATATTTTTATTGATTAAGTATACTGCGTTTACCTTTGCTTGTATTTATCTACAAAATATTGTCTAAAATATTGTTCATTATATTTTAGAGGGTTGCACGTAAGGACTGTGTGGTTTTATTGCCTTGAAAGTTTCGTCATTGTTAATTATCGACGCCATCATCAACTTTGTGAGTGTTAACAACATCAGCGACCTCTGCGCGATTCGGTATCATTTCTGATATGGGAATTCCAGTGGAAACATCTGATGAATCGGTTGTAGATTCGTTGCTAACTTCGCTGTTAACTTCGTCGCTAACTTCGTTGCTAACTTCGTTGCTAACCTCGTCGCTAACTTCGTCGTTAACTTCGTCGCTAACTTCGTTGTTGTCGTTGGAATTGTTCACGTTACCGGAATTGGAGTTATCACCATTTCCGTTTCCATTTACAACATTTCCATCTGTGTTGTCAGATCCATTTGTTATGTTGCTTTCGTTGTTGTTGTTACCAGAATTGTTGATAATTCGTGTAGAAATGGAACTTTGACTGTGAGATGGTAGATTTCCCGAATTGCTGTTATTTCCATTGTCATTTCCGTTAACCAGATTTCCATTGACGTCATCGGCTCCATTAGTGACATTGTTCCCATTGTTACTGTTGCCCGAATTGTTGATAATCCGCTGCGAATTCGAACTTCGACTGCTGGAAGCTACATTTCCCGAATTGTTGTTATTTCCATTTTCATTTCCATTAACTAAATTGCCATTGACGTCATCAGCTCCATTAGTGACGTTGTTCCCATCGTTATTGTTGCCCGAATTGTTGATAACCCGTTGCGAATTTGAACTTTGGCTGCTGGAAGCTACATTTCCCGAATTGTTGTTATTTCCATTTTCATTTCCATTAACTAAATTGCCATTGACGTCATCGGCTCCATTAGTCACGTTGTTCCCATCGTTATTGTTGCCCGAATTGTTGATAACCCGTTGCGAATTTGAACTTTGGCTGCTGGAAGCTACATTTCCCGAATTGTTGTTATTTCCATTTTCATTTCCATTAACTAAATTGCCATTGACGTCATCGGCTCCATTAGTCACGTTGTTCCCATCGTTATTGTTGCCCGAATTGTTGATAATCCGCTGCGAATTTGAACTTTGGCTGCTGGAAGCTACATTTCCCGAATTGTTGTTATTTCCATTTTCATTTCCATTAACTAAATTGCCATTGACGTCATCGGCTCCATTAGTCACGTTGTTCCCATCGTTATTGTTGCCCGAATTGTTGATAATCCGCTGCGAATTTGAACTTTGGCTGCTGGAAGCTACATTTCCCGAATTGTTGTTATTTCCATTATTATTTCCATTAACTAAATTGCCATTGACGTCATCAGCCCCATTAGCGACGTTGTTCCCGTTGTTACTGTTGCCCGAATTGTTGATAATTCGTGAATCACTGGGGTTATCAGTTCCAGATTCTACGTTTCCAGAATTAGAGTTATTTCCATTGTTATTTCCATTTACTAAGTTTCCATCAACATCATCAGCACCGTTTTCTATGTTATTTCCATTATTATTATTTCCAGAACTGTTAATGACTCGCAGTTCAATCGATTTTTCACCTTTAGAAGCAATATTTCCTGAATCTTCATTATTCCCATTAGAATTCCCATTAACTAAATTTCCATCAACATCGTCATCTCCATTTTGTACATTATTTCCAGTATTGTTGTGTCCAGCATTGTTGATAAGTCGCAAAAATTTGAACAATTGTTTCATAGAAGCCACATTTCCCGAATTCTCATTATTGCCATTAGAATTCCCATTAACTAAATTTCCATCAACATCGTCATCTCCATTTTGTACATTATTTCCAGTATTGTTGTGTCCAGCATTGTTGATAAGTCGCAAAAATTTGAACAATTGTTTCATAGAAGCAACATTTCCCGAATTCTCATTATTGCCATTAGAATTCCCATTCACTAAATTTCCATCAACATCGTCGGATTCATTTGTTACATTATTACCATTGTTATTACTACCAGAATTGTTAATAATAAGTGGACTAGCAGCACTCTTACTATCAACCTGGCTATTTCCAGCATTCGAATGATTCCCATTGCCATTTCCGTTCACTAAATTCCCATTGATGTTATCATGTCCGTTACTAACATTATTTCCATTATTATTATTATTATTATTATTCTCAGAATTATTAACAATACGCGTCGAATTACATACGCCACCCATAACGCACTCCCCTTTACCAACATCATACGTCAAACTTTGCGGACAATTATATGGAAATGGTTGATAATTACCAGGTGAAATTTCAGCGCACTTGTGATATTTCGTACAGTCATTTTCAACAGGTTGATTACCGCTACCACGACATATCCTAACGCAGTTCTCAACTTTTACATCGTAGGTCTCATAATCTTTGCACTTTCCAAGAATATAAGCTTTCTCATTAAAACATTTGCCCCAAATTCGATTATCCGACGCATGAACGAAAGATTTGAAATTTTGCCCCTTGCAATTGACTGTTACGCAATCCGACGTTTTCTTCTGTAATTTGCATTCTCCAAGCGCATGATCGTAAACATTATTTAATGGACATTGCATAAGGGTTGCCAAATTATTGTAACAGACATGATATATCTTACAAGAATTTGGATCCGGATATGACACGGTTCCAGGTAATGGCGGACAGTAAAAATTATCTGTCCCTGATTGGCAGTTCGAATTGATGGCCGATGCCGTACACAATCCTGTATCGCGATCACAGTACGGCGTACTTGTTAACTTTGAACAATCCACTCTTGCGACTTCTGTAAATGTACCAGCTGCATTGGGAGCACACATTTGACTGGTGCTGCAAGATGTTGCGTTGGAGGGTGGCAGACATTGTGTCAAACTGCTACACTCGACGTCTCTTGTCAAACTGAAGCTTGATCGAGGTAAATGTCTTAGAATATGAACCAAGGGATTGGCTGCCGAAGCAACTACCTATAATTAAGAAAAATAATGACTGAGTTATTATTTAATTATGTTATAATGAGAACGATCAATGATTTTTATTTGCTTCTAATGAAGACCCCTTTGACAACTTCTGTGATTGACGCTTATTTTTTAAATTACTGCATCCTATTTAGCGAGAAGAACGTACCAGAAGTGCTGACAAGTACAAGAATGACTTCATCATGATCACTAGCATGGGACTTTGATGAAGTAACCTTCCGTCTTCCTGCTCTTATATGCAAGGTGCAATGTTAAGCTCACTTGTCTACGTAATAGATAAAGAAACTACGAGATGAAGAAAATATTTGCCACAAGAGACGACGGATCAACGTTAGAGAATAATAAATTCTGAGTGATAAGATTTTTCCAGGAAACCGATTACTGGTGTCAGTCCATTTTTTCGTTCTTCCCCGCGCCGTTAACATTGTTTATATTTTATAAATTCTCCACGCCAATCTAGATAGTGAAATAATGCAAGGATACTATAAAACAAATTTTATAAACGTATAATTATATTTTCCAACGTCAAGCGGTCGTCGTATAGTTGTTAGTCAACCATATATTTTTGCTGAGGAATTTTATCATGGTGGATGGGGAGGAGGTTATGAATAAATATGCATTGAACGATATAAAGTAATATATTATTTACAATCAAATATTTGCATCTCTCTACATCCTATTGGCTAGAATATTCCACCCACGTTGCGGTGGTAGTTCAGCTGTGCATGTTGACTATAGTCATAACTTTGATCGTACCATTCAGGCCCAGTCGTGACATTAGCCCCGCTCGTGGACTGAGCAGTATGAGAAACATGATGACTTGGATGAGTAGAAGGATATTCACCTCCTTGAAAATGATTGAACTGTCCCCATCCAAGTTGAGTCCTGGACCAATCGGTATTGCCTGTGGAGCATAATAAATATTTCCATAAGATCATTGTAATAATAAATGCAACAAATACGTTGATGCAGACTGATGACTTACCAGCATTGTGAGGGAGTGCACTCGAAGGTGCATGAGCTGCAGGAGGCGGAAGTGCTGACACCTGTCCAAGCTGCATAGGATTTGCATGTCCTGTCAAGGGTCCCAAGTGTCCTGAAATTGCTACCGGATGTCCTTCCAGAGCGCTGCTCATGCTGGTGGGTACTTGTGCCATACTGGTAGCCATCTGAGCTTGATGAAGACTCGTGGAGACTTGATGAAGACTCGTTGGGACTTGGTGGAGAGTCGTTGGCGCTTGATGAAGACTCGTTGGCACCTGAGGAATTCCTCCTGGCATTTGTGGTACCTGCGGTAACTGCGACAGCTCATGACTGCTTGCGTATTGACACGGCGTCAACGGAAGTGTTGCTACGGAATGAGCTATACTTCCAGCGTGCTTTCGTAAACGGGCTCTTCTGTTGCTGAACCAGACCTACGTAACGGATTAATTAAGAGATACAATAGAAATGCTGGTTGTCGAATTTTCTAACATTTAATTATAATCCTGCCTGAAGTTTATTTTCGTTTAAGATTTTACTGTACCTGTATCCTTGCTTCTGTAAGTCCTGTTCTTTGGGCCAGTTCTTCCCGTGCATAAACGTCAGGATATTGGGCCCTTTGAAAGGCAGCTTCTAACTGCTCTAATTGTTCTCCAGTGAAAGTGGTTCTACTTCTACGTTGTTTTCGTTTTAGAGGAATTCCTGGTTCGCTTTCAGTGTCCGAATCATCGCCACAGCGACCTGCAAATAAATAAATAAAAAATTTGGTTTACCTATTACGTTTATACAGAAGCACTGATATGCTTAGGAGCACGTAAACACCTCGTACGATAATCGCAACTCAAAATTGAAAGATAACAAAATTGTTATCCAAGTGTTTGAACAGCCTGAAATGTTCACATCACAAGATGCTCAGATTAAAAAAAAAGACCGCACGGTACCAATTAATAATCTATAAATCGTTGGAAAACGCGTCATCATTCCATCGGTACGTCTATTTCTTTATATTCCAAATTTTTTACCCACGTCTCCCCATTCTTTTTTTCACCACTATCTACTCACCGGCCGCTGAATAAGATATTGATGAGGCACCTCATATATTAACTCAAGACTCGCACGTGTAATCCAATGACTGGGTGGCCCAAAGTTAAGCTTTGGGCTTCTCGTCACATTACTGATCATTCATCATTACCTTACTAGGATAAGATCATTGTTTCTTATACTTCTAGGAACGTGACTTTTTCGAAACAGAACACTCAAGAAATCAATCGCTATCACCATTTCACAGCTGATGGTACCGCGTTAAATTTTAACAAAATAAAAAATTGTTTCCTCAAAAATAATTAATGCCACATTATACTTGCATCCGAGTATAGGTCCATTCTGTTTCCTATAGTAAAAATCTGTATACCCAGTCAAAGTGCTTGAATGCCCGGGAAACTTTAAGTACCCAGGTAGGTAATATATCTATAGTCATGGCGTACACGTAACCTATTGATAAAAGGTAAGTAATGCAGGTAACGCAGGTGTGGGTTAGGCCTTAGGTACTGACGCCCATCGTACAAGAAGGTGCGTGCAACACGGTTTGAATTTTTAACATCGTACAACGTGCCTCGTTTTATCGCGTCCATGCAAGCGTGAGTGCAGTTCTAATACGTCCGCGTGCATTGGCACGAAATGAGCCCCCCTTATACGCAACGGTCATTAAGCCATCCATAAAGTCCTCGTAAAAGGCGAGCGACCATCTTGGAGTGGTACGCCATTTTCTCGGGTTTCCGTATGATCGATGTGCATTACAATCGATGCCATCGTGGAACTTCACGCTTTAGCCATACACGTAATATAATATTGTGCATTTTTTTTTTTTTTTTTTTTTTTTTAAAATTTTTCCCCCATTTTCTCGGGTTTCCGTATGATCGATGTGCATTACAATCGATGCCATCGTGGAACTTCACGCTTTAGCCATACACGTAATATAATATTGTGCATTTTTTTTTTTTTTTTTTTTTTCTTAAAATTTTGTCCCTGCACTGTTGGTATAATTTTTATTTACTTCATTTGGACACTTCCTTATTTACTGTCTTCTGGCGCGGATGGTTTGTCACAGTGTTCTTATATAATGGCGAACGTAGAAACGTCTGGCTCGATTGGCCGAGTGACTTGAGAAATTTCGTTGAAAGGAAGGAGATGAAGGATCCTTTTTTTTTTCTAAGACGCAATGTGTACCCAGCATTAGGTTCTTTTAGTGGAAATATATTCAAGGAATATTAAAGGATATCAACTTCTTTAGGCGTTCCTATTCATTTGGTTTGCTTGACCGGTGTTATTGATGTTTACTTGAGCACGGAACTGGCTGAACCTGAAGAATAAGATGTGGAGAACGTGAGGAGAATGAAAGAAGGAACACTGAAGATCAGGTTAAAAATGGCTAACGGATCGCAGGATGCGTTTCCAAATATTTGCACTAAGTCGACTTCGTTCCTATTGTCATCCTGTCTATTCGTTATCCTGCCTACCTTACCAACAGAAATGGCTACTCTTTTCATTGTCCGATCCTAAGGACCTCTTTGGTAACAATGTCCTTCCCTGTAATATTACTAAGTCCTTTACGTTGGATACAGGATCATTCGCTTGATTGAGCGTATACGCTCTTTACGTCAATTGACCAAATTTCCAATCGCGTTTAACGGCATTATCTTTCGTTCTATGCGAAATTTCTTTTACACTCTTTAAAACAGTTTTGACGTCTGACCAATCGTCTGTCAGCTGGATTATCCTTATTCGCAAGGATACTCACATCGAAGATTGTTCACTCGATGCTATTATATACTTATTATGTTGGCATTACTATTGACAATTAAATTAATAATCGGCCATTTTTTAAAAATTCTTCGAAGCATGTATTTTCGAAATAGCATTTTTTTCATTAATTTTTTTTTTGTTATTCGGTATAAAGCAATATTGTTTTTGTTCCATAAAACAATGCAAAAAATTGCTTAGTGGTTTTAGTGCTGTACGGATAACCATCATTTGAGAATGAAAAAAAAATTGTAATATTAGAAATTTCGATTTTCTAAAATATAATTTTTTTTTTTCCTTTTGAACAGTGCCACCTGCCCAAAATGTAATGTATATGCAATCCATAATGCATTGCATACAATACAAGCTTTTCTGCGGTTTGTAGCTATACGTGAAAGACCTGTACCGACGTTGCGCGCCCCGACGCATTGTGCCGCGGGAAGAAAATGGATGCGAAGGACGGAATTTAGGCGCACGATTCCTAGCGGCGCCCTTTGAGAACGGGGGCCTCGCATTTGTCAAGAGTCACGGACTCGAGCGGGATTAGGCCACAATGGGTCCGCGGTTTAATGACTCGGGAGTAACGGAAAATGATTTCAGTGATTTATCCGATCTCCACTTGATTCTACTTCAATTTTTCTTTTTCATTAATTTTTTTACATCTTTCCCCGTTATCCTCATTCCTTTACGACTTTCAACTCGAAATTATTCATCCGCTTGGTAAATGCAGACGGCACAGTGGGATATATGTAATCGCGTAGAAAAGACGAGTAACGGAGGCACTATAATTTGAAAGCAGGAGAAATACACAATGACAGTGCAACAGTTTCCACAAAGTCAATTAATTCCTTACTATTTCTTCTGTTATCATTGATCGATCGTTAATAGCCTTCCAGAAGGATTTTACGAAGTATTACGTATTTTCGAAAAGCTCAATTCATCAACAAGAAACTTTGAGTGGCGAATTAAAATTTACAGCGGACCCAACACGATGTAATCGGTCAATACATAAGACGATGTAAATATAATTGAACGGGATGAAAGAATTTTTGAAAAAAAGAAATTTTCAAATATCTCGATTATAATAAATTATTTGGAGATACTAGTAGTAGTCGAGTAAAAAATATTAGAAAAATTTGTTTTCGCCCAGCCTTGAAAATTGTCAGGAGTAGATATTGAATAATGTCAAAAATCTTTTGTCGTTCGTCAGATTCCTATGAATTCGTGGAACGTCAGTCTCCTACTGCCACATTACGCAATCGATGTGACAGGTGTAAGGCTCGTAGCTGTGTCAACGCGAGGGTCGGTGAGCGTTGTGAAATATTGCTAAACGCTTTTCGGCGGCTGAACTCCGCGGCGGAGACATACGAGGTGACAAGAATTTAAAGAGGCCCCGACGCCTCTATTGAAGGCCCCCAACTTGTCTCTGGACCATTATTCCATTCTCGCGATTGTCATCCAGGAGATGCCGACGGACGCCGCCAAAGGGTCGCCGACGTAGCGGAGCCCGCGAGGCATCACAATTTTGCTTGGCGTTAGGTAACTTCTCATTCTTTTGCTTCTTCACATGTGTACCTACTCTCTCTCTCTCTTCCTCATTGGCGTCATTCTTCGTAGCTGTGGTGTCTTTGAAATTGAGAAGAAGAGAAAAGAAAGATAAAGAAAACATTTGGAGAATCTTCAATCAAAGAACCACGTTAGACCGGACTTAATGCCCTGGGAAAAAGAATTCTGTGTTGCGCCCAAGTAACCTAGACGTCACTAATTATCGAATTCACATCACGACTATACTCTTTGTAAATGATAATTAGAAGACCTGGCAATTAGATGGGATTTAAATACAGGGGCTAAATACGGTAGCTGGATTTAAACGTGTGATGAATTATACAAATTGACGTTTTCGAGTGACGACTGAATTATCAATGAAATACCTATACGAGGATATTACAAAAAATATATGATTTCGCACGTGATCCTTTTTCCATGAACAATAAATCAAGTAACACACATCATAGGACAACTGATAGGTATAAAATTAAACTATATTATCTTCTTGTAAACTATTTTTCCCCACGGGAAATTTCTATATATTCGTAATATACTAATAGTAAAAATTAAAGAAAAATAAGAAAACCAAAAACCACAAAGAATATATTCAAAATGTATTTTGTTTATACGCCAAGTATGTAAGTTTTCTGTGCGGGTCTTTGAAATATGTGAGGAGCCATCGATAATCAATTAAAAGAATTAAGCTAAGTACTCGTGATGGAATGACGTATAAATTGAGAAAAAAGAGTAAAAGAGAGTAGAGTGTGATTAAGAGTGAATGAGAAAGAGAGAGCGAGAAAATGAGTGAAGCATAGAGAGAGTATATGGTATATCGAAGGGCGAAATCCGTGGGCCAGGTGGGTTTCTCGTCGGGTTGGGCCAGTCGGCATTCCTCTCGCGCCCTCTGACACTGGCGGTCCTCTCAGAAGGCGTCTCTCCTCGTTTCACTTCGAGTGAACTCCATCCACTCCTCCTGCTCGTACTGGCGGCGTGAAAAAATCGGGTGTGATCGTTTAGGGGCCCATATGTTGGACTTGTAATGAGAGAACGCGTCTCTGCCCGTTCGAGACAGGGGGCGGCACTCGACGAAATGCTTTATAGATTATCATCGTGTTCCTTGCTATATCTGCCATTGTTTCAGCCTCTATTAATAGGTTGTTAGCGAAACTTCTTAATACGTTGAATGAGGGGCACTTTATTACGTCCAGAAAATCATTCGCGATCGATTAAAAATTATGATGAAACATTTGCGAAATTTTATAAAAATACGGTTCGATAATTAATAACGGTATAAATTGTAGTATTTTTTCAAGGCTCAAAATGAGATTCTTTGTTGGGACAATATTTGTGATGATCGATGGATGATTCATCGAGGACTCTTTTAGTGTAATCAGTGAACTTGTTTTTTTTTCTAAGGGGAAAACTCGATACCGGTTAGCGTTGGTGGAAGTGACGTCAAGAAAAAGCCGGTACAAAGTTTACCGTTGATAGGCATAATCAATAAGGCCCAGTGGAATGAAAAGTGGCCGATTGGCTGAATAGATCGCGTGAAAAGACGCGTGTAATCAATTAGGGGGGGGGGGGGG